CAAAAGAATGAAGACCTTCTTTCACGAGAACCGTACGCAGATCAGAGAATACACCGCTATCGCTAAACAGTTGACTCGTGTTGTCTATGAACTGGCCAAAGGGATTCTCGTATTCGGCAATCGTTTGGGAAAGATCATTGTCCCACTCGATAAGGTTATACAAATGTTTCAAGCTTGGATGGGGTCGATGGGGGCGAGCCGCAAGAGCTTCCTTGGCTACTTGATCACACTTGAATTCGTCATGCAGAACTGGCGTAGGCTGGTCGATATCGCCTTGTCCCAAATCCAGTTGTCATTCGAGCAGTGGTGGAGCGGCATCAAGAAGACCGTTGCTGATTATGTCATCATTCTTACATGGATGGCAAATCAATCAGTATCGATCGCCAAACAGATCGCCGTGAACTTTTCAAAGATGTTCGTAAACATGATCGAGAATGCCAAAAACGTGGGCATGAATTGGAAGGAACTTCTTTCTGGAAAGAAGACTTTCGATGAAATATGGACCCCTCTTGGCGAAAGCCTCACCCTACACATCGACGAACTTCCTAAACTTGCCGAACGCCATATATCGGAGACCGAGAAGCGACTAAAGCTTCGCATAGGAACGCTTACGGCATCACTCGGTATGGACTTCGCAGAGTTCTTCAATAAGCGAATGAAAGAACTCTTGCCTTCTAAGGTGCCCGACTTCGTTGACAAGTACGCAGGCTACTTTAAAGACATGTTCAACGATATTGTGGGCACGGCTGAGAATGCCTGGAGTAAGCTTCTTGGATTTCACAAGATGTTAGAAAACCTATCCAAGCCTACGCAGTGGCGAGTCGTTGGAGATGGTAAGCAGTTCGGCAGCAAGGAGGCTCTTGATAGTGCTTTGAGTTGGAGGCAGCAAACACAGAGCGTCCACAAACCCTTGAAGGCTGTGGAGATCGCAGCCAAGCAGCTTGCCGCACAACAGAAGATGAATAAGCAACTTGAGGTTCTCATTCAGAAGATCGTTCCAGCGGTGCCTTACATTCTGAACTTCTGATCCCATGCATACATAATGCATGGCAATCAGTTTCACAGAAAAGACGACGGTCGAAAGCGAAATCACTTACAACGATCAGCAAGAGAAGCAGTACAACCGAACCCTCTTCGCCTTGTCGGATGCGTTCATGGGCGAGGCCGATGTATTGCTCGCCCTATATCTACAGTACGG